TCCCGCTGGAGCGCTGTACGGAGGTCGGGATTTTAGTTCGGCTTTCTCACCGCGAGATGGCGATACCTATTCACGTCCCATAAACGCGCGTATATTTGAAAATCAAACAAAAATTCGGTTATAAACTGCATTTTAGTTGTTAGTTCTATTAAAAATCGACTGAAACAATTCTTGTATTGCATAACTATGTCTCTGGTACCATATTTTAGACGCTAATTACCGTTAAAACGATGAAAACGTTATTTGTTCTGTACTGAGTCACATACGATGAGATATCAATTAATAGCACTCGTAGAAAAATGATTGTATTCAACGAGGTAAAATTTCATTTGCATTAACGACGTTCGGCGGGGATTTGTTATAAATTTAGGTCGCGAGCGTAATTTTACATTCGCGTAATAATTCAAACCCTACGTCAATTAATAAACTTTTAATTATTTTCCCTGTTCAAAGAACTCTTTATATCGGGCGCCATTATCGCTTGAAAACGATGTGGAAAAAAAAAAGTTTCACGATACATCGAAGTCCATAATTCATTTTTTAAATGAGAATTATTAAACGCTGCGTCTGAGAAATCCACGATCATCGTTAGACTTGATTAAGTTTTTTTGCTTTCAATCCTATTTTTAAATTTAGATTCATGAATTTTTATTTCCAGACCACTGCTACGAAGAAAAAGAAGAATCCATCGAAGGGACGAAGATGCAAAACACGAACGCAGTTGCCGTTTTGTTCAGAAACTTTATTTATTACATACACTAGCCGACTACTATGCATGCGTTGGGGCATTCAGATACAGGGAGTTCGCTTGCGATTCGACGAGCGTCGTTAAATGTGTGTGTCTCACATACAACGGCCGTTGTTCCAATTTTCGTCATTTCGTTTCACTCTTGCCTCCGTGGAGCATGTGGTTACCTCATCCCGTATTTGATTCGTTTAAATTATAGTGCGTTACGATACGTGTAATAATCCGGTGGGTCTAAGACGAACGAAACCCTCTGCTCGTCGAAGCTTTTTCCTCTCGGATCTGGGAATCGCTGTCGTCATTCAAGCAAATTAATCGTAAAGGAACGTGCAAAAGGAAGCAAGACTCGAGAAACTCGGGGTTGTGCAAAATGGCCGATCGCTGGACCGACTCTGTCAACGTAAAACTGCAAAGAGACTCGTCCGACTTAGCGTGCCTCGCAACCACATATATTCGTATTTATATTTCTTTATATATATATATATATATATATTTATATATGTATACTTTGTATTTATATATTTATATACAGTGGGTGGGGGTAAGGTAACGACGCCATCGCGGCAGAGAGGACTCGCTTCGAAGTGGAGGAATAAAAATTACAAATAGAGTTCGGCATTTTGGCAAGGATGGGCAAAATTCTTGTCTAGATACAAATTTCCAGTCACGAATAAAAGATGTATTTCGATCTGTTAAATGAAAATATAATTACACACAGTTCACGTTGAAGGGTTAAAAAGTTACTCGAGTATATAGTTCGCAAATGAATCGTTATAGGATGTTTTATGATTTATTCGTCGTATATTATTGAAATAAAATTTTGCCCACTTCTGTGCTTTTCGTTAACCGTGGGATGCGAAATAGATCAGAGGAATTACACCGACAAATTTCATCTTTCTTTTTTACACTTTTTAACAATACACAGTCCCAAGAATGGCCCGCGAGAACGATCTATCTTGGCTCCTAAATTATGTAACAAACAACTAGTCGGTTTCGTTCACTCCAGAATGCAACGCGACCTCCAGTCATGTCGGCCCAAAGTTACTCCATTTCATTTTACAATCCACATCCTACGATCAATGTTAACCAGAGACAGGCAAAATTAATCGTATTAGTGTTATACAATTTTAATTCCCTGTAAGAGCCTGTTCCATTAGGCCGAAACGTCGAGGAATCAAAATATTGCTCGAAGACCAATGAACATTGTCCTCTTTCGAGACTTCGCCTATTAAGTGCGAATAATTTAAATTCTAATTTTTATTCAACGCGCAAAGGACGAAAGCCTCTCGTTCGTTACTCGAAATTTTTATTCGGATAAGAATTCTGCCCATCCCTGGTCCCGATCAGCAACGAGTCGATCGTCCATCGTGGCGTCGTTACTTCGACGACCACCTCACGTAGGTGGATCCGTAAATAAAGTATAATGCCTTAACGAGCTAGAACTTATACCGACATATTGCACATTTGACAACAGTTACGTTCTTCTTTAAGTACTTGGGGGTATAGGAAGTGTTCGCTAATAAACAGTTTCTCGTGTACACGCTATCTCGCGGTGTCCACGACACATTCATTCATGTACACATCACTCACGCGTTATCGATGAAATAAATCCAGGATTCTCGCATTCAGAATTCCTCGCGAGTCTATCGTTATTCGAAGACCCGGAGGATTGTTCGACGACGCCCCCGAGGCGTCTTCGAAGTCATGTTCGATGTGTCTGTGGCTTCTAATTCGTTATTCGTTTCACTCGTCACGGTGATTCGTTCGATCCGTCGTTCGTTGCTAGTTCGGTGGTCTCCAAAAGGCGCAATGTTCGTTTCATCATACTCAAACACACTCTCCTGAATTCGGAGAACAGTCTGGTGATTTCGAGGATAATTATACATGACATTAATTCATTCACGACCAGCTTGAAATTGTCTGTCTTAAAAGAGGTATACGTCCGCTAACTCTCATTCAGATTCGATTGATCTATCTTATATAAAAAAATGCTAACAGTAATTTTATGGCTCAAAGTACCAGACTGACCTCTTCGCTGTACTCAATATCTCGATGCAGCACACATACACACACACGAGCGTGCGTCGTCGTACCTATGTATATATTTATATACGTATATGTGTAATGCATAATACAATTCCTATAGTATATATTACACATATACACGCACTATTTAAAGCGGCTATAACTCCTAAATAGTTAGTGGCGATCCACCTCGTCGGCTACTCGCGTCAGATCAATCCTGACAAGGACAGGACCCAAACTTCTCCTCAGATTTAGGTTTGCTTTACACTTCGATGCGAGTGTTTCCTAATTTTCATTTGGATTCAATTATTCTTTCTTACGAAAAAAGAATGCAATAGCTCCAATGTTTACACGTTGCACAACCCTAAATCCGAGGACAGATGAGGTTAACTCCCCCTGTCGAGTTAAACGACATAGACTCCTCGAATCTGAAATCGCGATAATCGAGCCGACGCCGACGTCTGGAAAGCCTTCCACGCTTCGCGATCGATGATTTGTCATTGTACCGGCCGTCCATAGGCCACCGTTTCGTTGATGAGGACCGACTCGAAGTAATTCCCGTTGTCCGTTTCCCCTCGCGATCGACATTGTCCTATCTAGTTCGAGGGTGATACGAGGAAAGCGTGAAGTAGGCCCTGTGCGATATCGACTATCGCTTCGATGATGCAGCCGGATGCAAAGTATTCGTTGTGTGGGGTGTCGGTGGTGGTGTGTCGTTTGCACATCTCCCGGTAGGCAGCTCCTCTGGACCGCGTGCAGTCCACAGACAGCGTCAAGAAGCAGTCTCTCTTATCCCATGGTACCCTTCGGGACTCATCTTCTCATACGTCCACAATACTCCGTCGAGATCAGTCTCCGTGATTCTATTTGTGGCAGCTCCGTCCTCGCATGGGCGATTTTCTCTGTCAATCGATCGTTCTCGATCATCTCGAAAGAACATTTAAAAAAAAAAAAAAAAATGCTGCCAACAATAACTCGAATAATTTCTCTCGTTCGCGTCTCGAGGCGTCGCCTGCTGGATTCGCAGAGCCAGTTGGATCGACTTCTCCGCGGCTGATCGATCGGAAATGGACTGTCTTCTCCTCTAAGTTGTTGAACGACTTCTTGGGTTCGATGATTTGCGGGAAAATCGTCGAAACGGCGATTAAACGGAGGCGTGAAGCGTGCTCGACGGGGGACCCGGCGGGTACGCGCTACTGGTGGGCGCCGCCGTGGGCTGGAGGCTCAGTTGCAGTTGATGCTGCTGGGCTTTCGCCCTCAAACAGGCGATGCTCTCGTTCCTGAGCTGCTCCGTGTCCTGGACCATTCCTGTGAAATGGAGATTCGAGCTGGTTAGTCGTTGACCTGGTGGTAATCGATTCTATCGTGTTTCCGATGAGGTATAGTGGGAACGAGTTACTCGAACCTTAAAAGGTGTGACTGGCGCGTGTAACAACAATAACTTTAGGATTCTCATTGAAATTTTGAATACAATTTTACCACAACTGGATGGATAGTAGAGAAACAACTCGGTGTTATTTTTGTCCGATTCGTGGTTTAATTCGCAGAAACGTGAACGTGAGTGAAATGGTACCTGAAGACGACGAAGGCCCCATGCCATCCTGACTTTCTTGTCCGCTCTCGGAGCTGGTCGGTCCGCCTTGGTGATGGCTATGATGGGGGCTGCTTCCGCTTCCGTTGTGGTCGTTTCCGCTGTCCTCGCCGCCAGACTTGAGATGCTCCGCCGCTTCGATTGACTTCCGGTGCATCCCTGCGGGGCCACAGTCAATCAGTTCTTGATTATTTTCGATATCTTGACTAAAGCTGCTCGTCTTAGATGATTGAGCTGATACACACGAAAAGAAAAACAAAGTCGAGATTTGCTCTAAAATTTGATTCGCGTTCATTAAGCGTTGCTGGCTCCGACGGTATGACTTTTAACCCTCTATAACCCCGCGTGACACTGAAATCATATACCCATTGCTCATAGTTTCAATCTTGAACTTAATCTATCGTTGTTCATTGTTGCATCTTTCTTTGTTGACGCTCAGAAGTCAAACGTAATTTGGGTTGCAGAGGATTAACGAAACGAGTCACCGGTAGAAACCGCAGATGGGCATAATTCTTATAAAATATCAATCAATGTTTTCGCCGAATTGTTTGATCGTATAAACGTCGAAGGACGTTTCACGTTGATTCTATTATTTCGATAAAATTGTGCCAATCTCCAGCAGAGACAAAAACCGAGCACGGCCCCGTCGCACAGTGGCGCAATCTCCGAATAAAAGCTAGCAGAGACAGTACCAAAACCACCAGCTGCGGAACTATCAAGACTTTACAAGCTCAAAAATAAATTTTTCTGCTTATATTGGATTAGTTGGACCACTGTACGTCGCCTTCACCTGCTACTTCTTTTCCGCGTCTTTCAACTGCTGCGAGAAATTCAGTGCGTGTCAGTAATGTCAAGGAATAAATTAATTTGCCGATAAGTTCAGCAGCGAAAGGGTCAGAAAGAAGATTGCGTCTCGGAAGTTAGCAAAACTTAATGCGTTCGACTGCGTCGAAATTTCGAGGGAACGAAACACTGACGATTCTCACCTAGCAGCCACGGCGCTACCGACTCGTTCTCTTTGGCGCTCTTCAGGATGGTCTCAGGAAGTGGCAAAGAGTGTCGTACCATCGCTCCGTACAGACCGTACTCCGCCATTATGGTGCTTCTGCCCCAACACTTCTCCGTTTTGCGCCATTTTGCTCTCCGGTTTTGAAACCACACCTGAAACGATAAATTTCGAATATGCCAAGGTCCTTTTCAACGAGAAATTAATATACACATATAAAAATCCCTATATTTTCAATACAAAAGTAGAATTACGTTTCGTCAACCTAATTTCAAATTGTGAGTGCACACGACTCATTTTATAAAGCATGGTTCATCGGATAATCGCGTCACAGTAACCCTAAGCGAGTATCGGTAGCCGAAGAAATCCCACCAAGCAGAAGATTGCTTGTTAGCGTTCGAATATTGCTTCCACAGCCTCAAAGAGGCTTTCCTGAACTGGACGAGACTTTCCTGACCACACTCTTGACTCACACGTTCATTTAATGATCATTGTCTCCTAATTGGCGCGGGATGAGCCCAGTTGCGTGCGATCAGTTTCGTGCGTGCGGTTCTGTGCATCCTCACAGTCAACTATTACGCTTAAACGATCACCTCGGGGCTCGTTATCCTGTTTTTCGCGGTCCAGTATCCAGTTAGGCTACTTGTTAACGATTCTGATCATCGGACCACCTAGGGCGGCGACGCGTGCCGCTTCCTCTAGACACGCTTCCCGTCCACGGACCAGTTTCAACTTTAACGAGCTTAATTCCTAAGAAGTTTCCCGCTCCGTGAACTGACAATGAGTAAACTAATCGTGGTTGTGAAATTGGTTATATAACCTGCGATGGAGTATTTTCTTTCGTATTGCCGCGAAATTTTGGTTGCAGTGATCGAATTCGAGCGCGATATTTTCACCTAGGCGGAAACGCTTTAACACCGAATCCTCTTTCCCATAGTCTGCGCGCGTATGCAACTAGAGATAGTGCTTTACAAGCTCCAGGACGCGATATCGTGGAAAACGATATTCTTATGCAATCGAGAGCAGATCAGCATTCGCAAGCGATAGCTCTGTACGATACTTCTCGATCGCTGCGCTCAACAGCAACATTACCGCGTTTTACTCGAATTTATTCCATCTTTCCCGTACTAATATCATCATCATCGATACACTTCTGTTTCAGTTAAACAAGAAAACCGTGCTGGCTCGCTTCGTGAACATCAATGTACATCAATATAAGTGTTAATTCCATCTACTAGAGAAACACAATTGATTTTAATGTAAGTTCAACTAATTTAATAAGCGATAATGGCTCCCGAGGTTTTTTGCGATCTCTGCATTCTTGTATTTAAGAAAAAAAAAAAAAGTTAGATAATGGCACGATTATTTATCGAAAAACAAAAAGGAAGATTGAACGTCGAACCAGCGAAATCCTGCCAGCAGGAATCGTTTCATCGACATCGTCGCTTCGTTTCGAAACGATTCGACAGCAGCCAATCCGTCACGCGCATTCAACTCCTTCCCAGCGAGAGGTGTACGTGATCGGCGGAGGATGTTATTTAAAAAAGGCCTGCACACGCATCATTTGCGACGACGTGTGTACCGGGCAGACACGGGGGAGGGGGACGAAGGCCAGGGCGTGTACCAATTTGTAGCAACAATGCTAAAGTCACCGGCAGAATTGGAACGTAATTCGAGTGAATGGGAACCCGTTGCCCTGTCAATTTGCCTTGCCACCCCGAAATTATCTTCCGCCTAGCTTTCGAACGAACTGCCCCGGCCTTTTTTTCGCGATTCACCATCCTCCCTCCCGCTGCAGAATAATATTCATGCAAATGTTTTTCCGTTTTCGTCGAGGAACGCGAGCCATTGTGCTCCTATAGGCTACATTTGGTGTGCTCGCAGCTCATTAGACTAGGCGCGATCTTAACGATAAATCCAAATTGAGATATCTTTGTTCCCTTTATAGTCATTTCGGGATTAATAGTAACGAGGACGATTCCGGCGCGACGAGGAATATTAATGCGTTTCTGGATCTGCTACTTGGACTCATCAGCGAGCATGTTCTGCGGTTGAGTTTAAGAACGAAACACATTAGTATTCCTCTTTGTGCGAGAACGTTGCTCGTTATCATTAAATCCTACGCGATCAGATACGAGATCAACCAAAGGTTGCACAACTATTTTTCCTCTTTTCTTTGGCATCGATCCTCGAACTTTTTGTAAGAATTCAACGCTTGTGTTCACGTCGTTAGGACCTAGTAGTATTAAAGTGCCGAGTGACATGTACGACGGCAAGTATTGTGACGCGTTCGTCTCCGTTAATTTTATTAAAATTCGCAAAGCGGGGGGCGGGAGGGGGGGGGCGGGGGAGCAAATAAATTGCGCAACCTCGCAGACGTGGGAATTCACAGTTTCGTTCAATCGATGACTGTGACACCGTCAATCCGTTTTCAGAGTCGGAAATCGCGTAATCGTACGTGACGGTCCGTCATTCCAGGCTGATGAAGGCGGAAAAGCAGACGCGTGGAATGCGGAGGAACGAAAAGGGATTGGGAGGCCGCGTCGCGGAAACGGTAATGGTCGCGCGGAACGAGAGAATCCTGCTGGAAATCTTTCATTGATCGTGGACAGCCGTGTTCTATTCACTGACGCGTAAATCATTGTACCGATCATAAAGCTGTTACTCGATTTCCAAGCGACTTCGCGAAGTCCCGCCATAACCGACGTGCTTGCGTGACGAAAATCGAAGAAATCGACTTTAAACGGTCTTCGAGTTCGAGCGACTCAGCGAACAACTTCTGCAACTCTCTTTTGACTTTTATTGCGGGGTGAACCGTTTACTGTCCCCCGCCCTCTCTCTCTCTCTGCGATTTCCTATAGACATCTTTAGCGTGATATCAAAACATAGACATGCTTCGTCCGATACAACAAGATGGGCATCTTTAGGTATGCGCGCTCTTTTCGTTGGTCATCCGATATCTTAAAGAAGAGATTGAAATAAAAGTCGTCTAGCAACAGCTTCTATCACTCGCGTATTCCGAGAGCGAATACAAAAGTATGACCTACAAACATGAACTTATTTACGCCTGGATTAACAAAAGGCTCGCATAACGTGAAATTGAACAGAGCAGCGACGGAAGGGGCCGTCAACTTCCTCGAAGAGGTCCATCGCGGGGCTGTCGCGAGTCCGCGTCGAGGGTTCACAAAGAGTCTCGGTGTCCGAAGAAGTTCGCAGAAGTAGTATCACACCCCTTTAGAAAACGAGGCAGGCGTTCTATAGAAAGACGCCTTCGGAGTTGGCGAGGGCTGCCAGGTCCGTCGCCCAATGAGTCCTTTATAGTTGGTAGGGATCGGAAATCGCGTACCGGGATTATCCTTCGGCATCCTGGAATAGCTTACCAAGAGACGGAGACACCGAAGCACGCTGACGGAGAATGGATATATAGAGGCCGCGAGAGGTGGGTGGGATGATCGGGGGAGGGGGTCGCACTGCAGAAGCAGCGGTAGCAGCAACGCCAACGGGCAACGAGGAGGAAGAGGATCCTTTATGGTGGCGTTCGTCGACTCGAAGGAGCGGGAACTCCGACGGTGGGTTTCTCTGTCCTCCCACCACCCCCCCCGTTCTCCTCCTCGTCCGCCCCCAACTCCTCTGCCCCTCGTCCTTCCCATTCTCTAGCTCGCCACCCCCTTTATTGGCACACCCGGTATAATAAGGAGTGAGTTTGTATTTAGTCGGCCATGCGCAGTACTGGCTGTTGGCGTATCATCGATCAGACCGGCGACTGACTATTGGACCAAAACAAGAGGATGAGAAAGGGAATGGGAATAAAGGGAGAGGGACGGCCGATATAGAAAGTGCGACGGGGAGAGAGCCTGGAAAAGTAGAAACGGCGGTGGGGAAGCCAGGGAAGCGGATGAAGCAGGACAGAGACAGTCGTTGGAGAGAAGGATAAGTGCGAGGGAAAGTCTCCGGAGGGGAGGTGGAGGCGAGTACCAGCTATGTACGTCCAAGTTAGACTCGAGTTAGTGTTGGTACGGAGTGATACGAGGCGAAGCAAAGAGGGTGATGTCGGATGGAGGTGGAAGAGGGACCCGCGGTAACTTCCTATGGATTCCCAATACACCGATATCAGGATACACGGTCGCGAAGTCAAGGGATAGCCAGCGATCGGGCGAGGAGGAACGGGAAAACGGAGGGAAGAGAAGAACAAGAAGAGGATACGGTGGCGGTGATAGCGAGGCGGGGGCATCGAGAGAGGGAGATAGGAAACGCGGGTGGAGAGGACGAGTCGACGGCACCCACCTGCCTGCCTGCTTCTTGCTGCAACACTCGAGCTCGATGCCAGCGCGATGTATTGAAACTGAGGCTGAAGAGTTGCCGTCAGGTACTATAGCAGGATGAGGGTCCTCGAAGGTCTACCTAACCGAAAGCTTTTTGATTTTCCGCCGTGGAGAGAGCCAGGCGGCCAGGAACACCCAGCCGCGATAACAGAGTTGGAAGCAACTTTATTTTAATAGAGCCGCGTATCTGGACTTGCAGACATTTTCGTTCGCAGTCCAAGAGGACTCAGGATCGTCGCGACGTGAGCATCTATGTCAACTCGCAGGATTGTGATTAGATACCTGCGATTAGATACTTACTCTTATCGAGTAATTTACATCGAATGAATTCCCCTTCCAAAACTTGTTTACATTTCACTATTTGTGAAAAGTTCTTCGTTCGGATGAGAATGCTGCCCACCTCCTCGCGACAGGCGACGCGGAAGACAAGGAGGCGCGGGGACGAAATTGCCAGCAAGAGAACGAGACCGTTATTTTTCTCTCAGGAGCTCCAGTCGTCATTGTCTTTCGGAATCCGAGCGTTCCCAGCGAACGGAAGAGCTAAGAATTCCGCGGATCTCATCGGCTGATACGCCTTCCACCTTCGAGTCGTAGCTAGCACCAATACAATCCGCGCAAGGTGATACTGTCCCGAGGATAATTGGAGATCTCGTTACTCCCCACCGGTAACTTCAATTTACGATCGACCGATAATGAGATATCGAGTTCTCTGCTTTCCCCTTTCCCCTGCCGAGTCGATCTCCCACTCTGGCTGCGCGATCTCCCCAACCCTCTGCGCGATACCCGCGTCGTCAAAGCTCGAACCGATCCTGGGACGTATTCGTATTAGATGC